AAATTTTCTTGGTACGTTAAATCTGTTGTTGCTGTCTATATAATTTGTATAATCATCAAGTGAATCTCTTAAAGTGACACCTTTTACTAAAAGCTCTGCATGCTGATTTAAAATCATCTTATATTCATTAGTTAAACAAACTTTTTAATGAACGTGATTCATTTACTTACAAATAGAGCTCATCTACTTCCTGGTCCAGTTCTGGCACAAATTATGTAATGTGCCACAGCGTTGCATCCTGTGAAGGTTACATCAGCAGAGCATTGCTGGGAAATCTCATCTGTAATCTCATGAGATCTCAGGGAAAGGCATTTTCCTCCAGGTGATGTGCATGGTCACATGTCCTAGTCACATGTGCCAGAGTTCCAGGAAGTAATAGGAGAGCTAGTAACCTGCCCTTAGTAAACATGGCCACTGTCGGAAGACTGGGGAAGAAAAGAGAAATAAGGTATGCATAGAATACGAAGCCTGCATTTATCTAGAAGTATGTGTGTGTAGATTGTCATTACTAAACATTTCTAAAGGTGTGTTTGTTGCTATTTTAAAGATCTGGGTAAAGGTCCGCTTTAAGAGAACCAGAAAAAGCCACTTGTAGATTCAAATCTAGTTAAGCATTTTCTGCAGCAGATAAAGGAACACATGCACTATTTATTAGATATAAAAATACAATGGTTTACTATGATGTTATTAAGACTGACCTACAAACAGATTTAAATATACAACATTTGCTCCGCTATGTATTTCAACTGTCTGGCCAAAAAAAAGAGCCACACACTCTAATATTTTGTTGGATCGCGGTTTGCTTTATTTACAGCAACATTCGCCGTGGCATCGCTTTGATAAACTTCTGAAATGTTACAACATTTATTTAAATCCAGAGTTGCATTCATTTTTCACCAAGATCTTGTAGTGATGATGGGAGAGTTGGACCACTGCGTAAAGTCTTCTCCAGCACATCCCAAATATTCTCAATGGGGTTCAGGTCTGGACTCTGTGGTGGCCAATGATCCATGTGTGAGAATGATATCTCATGCTCCCCGAACCACTCTTTCACAATAAGAGCCCAATGAATCCTGGCATTGTCATCTTGGAATATGCCGGTGCCATCAGGGAAGAAAAAATCCATTGATGGAATAACCTGGTCATTGAGTATATTCAGGTAGGCAGCTGACCTCATTTTTTTGGGGACATTGCTGAAACTAGACCTGACCAACTGAAGCAACACCAGATCATAACACTGATGTAAGTTATGATTGACGTATATGTGGATGTATGCTGCTGAATAAAAATTATTTTGGCTGATGCCAACACACTTCACCCTTTTGTGAATAACCCTGTTAGTTAGCATAAGACTGAAGAGTTAGGAGAAGGCAGGAGAAGAACATTCTAGGCCAAAATAGCTGATTTGGAAAAATTCTCCAATTCAGCTCACTTTCTAGTTCAGATATGTTGTCCTAGATTGTTCACTTCTCCTGCCCTCTCCAAAATCTTCACCCTTTTGTGGATATCCCTGTAGGTTTTTATTGTGATAAACTTCCTGATCAGTTGGGCCTCTTATAATACTATTTTTAGGGTGGCGTTGACTGCACACAGTGAAAACAGCTGTAGAGCATTTTGGCAATAGAAACCTGTTCAGTTAAATAGATAGAGGAACATCAGACCAGCCAACCAGAAATCCTTTTCGTGTTAGTGAATGGCAGTATACTGTATATGAATTTGGAGATTAAAAGTGTGTAGGGGGAATCGGAGACGTGAAGAGAGACCCGTAGGTGCATCTATAGATTGGACATATATGCTGGGTGAATTGAGTGTGTATCCTTATGGAGACTTTCTCATCTGAGGTCTAGATACACATAGAAAGAGACTGAAAGGGCTTTTATTTTTATTATTATTATTCGTTCTATAATCTGGACTATTCCTGTTCATCTGTTTCTGGGATCCAATAAACTCAACACTCTTTGGAAAAGAAACGAGGTTGCCTGAATATTTCTGGAAGATTGCATTCTACATATTCCCTTTCTCAACGCACATAAATATATATTTATAACTACAAATACTGCCCCCACAGGCTTGGAGGGTTGGCACTAGGCTTGATGGGTACATCACTTCATCCCCTCACTTCTACCCTGATGAGCACAGATTTACCCTGTTCGAGTGATGGACAGACCACATGACCTTTTTCAATTGCTCCAGAGCCCAATCTTTATGCTCCATAGCAAATTGAAGCCTTTTTTTTTTCCAATTAGCCTCACTAATGAGTAGTTTTCTTAAGGATAAACGTTGGTTTTTCCCAATCCCTTTTAGTTCTCTTCGCAATGTGGGTGTCACGTACATGGGTGGAGACTGAATGTGGGAGGAGGCTTCCCTTGCGCCTCGTGTCTCAAAGACTCTGGAGTTGGAAACAGAGTCAGAGTGGCAAAGGGGCCAGTGGTGATCACACCGTGCAAGCTGGAGTTCTGGCACCGGATCGGGTCAGGCTGAGCTGTAGTCAAAACCAGGCAGGCAGCGGAGTGCAGATCAGGATCCAAGATCGTGGTCAAACAAGCCAGGGGTCAAATCCAGTCGGGCAGCGAGGCACAAAGGCAGGAGACAGAGGCAGGTTCAGAAGGCAAGCAGGATGTCAGGGGCAGGCAGCAATCAACAAGGTCAAGGACAATCTGAGTCAAAGTCAGCAAGGTAATCAGAAGCACAGGGAACACAGGGGAAGCTGAAGACAATCCAGCAACTTGAAGTCAGGTAGACAGGCTTTAAATAGGCAGATCCATCAGGAAGCAGAATCACTTCCTGTGTGACATTTTGACCGGCTGTTCTGTGGCGTGCGCAAGTGCCTGTTTACCTGCAGTACTGAAAACTGGACCATGCGCAGTAGCAGGTGGTTTCTGACAGTGGGTTTGGAAATGCTTTTACTTACACTATTAAACATAGCTCGTGAGTTCTACGGTTCATTTTTATGATTCGGTTTCACCAAAAGTTTGTGATCTCCGATAATTCAAGATTGTTTTCTGACCGCATTGCTTCCTCGAAGATGATGGTTCACCACTATGGTCCCAGGTTTTAATAATGCGTTAGACATTTCTTAAGCAATTAGATGTTTTCAGGCCAATAAATTGAACCTTCTGAAACAGTTACATCTTTTCCACAACCACAGGATATGTCTTCTGAAATGGTTGTTTAAGAAAGAAGAGGCTACACACTGCATCAGTTAGGGTTAAATAACTTGTTGCCAGATGAAGCATATTAGTCACTGCAGTAATAATGGAAGGCTCTCGCCTATTTGTTTAGCTAAATCCAAGTGGTGACTTTTTTTGGCCAGGTAGTGTATATTAAATTAATTACATTTATTTTTACACAGAACTAGCACAGGCAACTGCATCTGTCTTTATATTGACTACCTTCTTTAGCTCACATATTTACCCCCTCCAACTTCTTCAGTTAACATTTACTGCCCACCACCTTTACACAAATCACAAGGTTGACAAAAACTGCTACAGCTTTACACAGCCTGGGCCCTTGCACGCAGAAGATAGCTTTAGCCAACAATATTATTATTTTACAGGATCTATAGAACACTAACCGTTTGCACAGCACTTTACAAAATGAAGGGAGACAGTACATTTGCAATACAATCCAATACAAGAGGGTTAGGATGGCCCAGCTCATGAGAACTTACAATCTAGTAGACACCTCACTGTGCACGCTAGGGTCACAATGATGATTGTGTCCATCCACCAACTGTTAATCACTGGAGCCCAAACAATATCACTCTTCTGTCTTATAATGTCCCTGAGGAGTCTGGCCACTCCTGCTCTAATAACATAGTACCTATCCATCCAGATGCAATGGCAGAAGACAAGCTTGTCTTAATATAATAATAGGATAGTATATTATCTATCATGTGGTAACACAGGTATTGATATATAGTGATAATCATTCTTATTTTCTGTTACAGTTGTCATGAGGTTTTCCTATTAAAAGGAGAGACACCTGCTGGATATGAGGTACACATAATAGTTTAATATATGTATTTATCTCCAATATTAACACTGGAACTATGTCAGCTTTAATGTAATTGAACACGCCTCTAGTTTCTAATTTTTTGTTTATCAATCCCACTCATTTCCAGATTCAGATCTATTCATTTTGTACGTTTCCTGCAGATTTATGGGAAGGTTCCAGAGGATGAAGATGCTTCGTGTCGTGTGTGCTTTTCTTGTCCTCCTCCTCTTCTTATTTGGTGCCCTTGCTGCCCTCCTGCCCGCTGCTCATGAAGATTCTATATTAGGGTTTCGACGGGGAGCATCCTTCTCCAGCCTCTCCTCACAGGACTCCTTCACTCTCATAATGCAGAGCTTTAACAGAACTGATTTGTTACTGAAAATGTTAAATCACTACCAGGCCATGCCCCAGCTCCACAGTATAATTGTAGTGTGGAATAATGTGGGGCAAGACACGCCACAGGAGATGTGGGACAGTCTTGGACCCCATCCTGTGTCTGTTTACTTCAAGAAAGAGAGTGTTAATCTCATGCGAAACAGACTGCAGAACTTTCCAGAGATACAAACCCAAGGTAAGTGCCATTTTCTTTCTTACCTTCAGCCCCAGGCTCAGCTGGCACTGCACAGCATTTACAGAAAAACAACCTGAAAACATCCACGGCCTACTGTGCTTTCGTGCCTCTTGCTATTTTCATTCCTATAGCTGGGCCCAAACTCCTCTGGCGGCCACAATGAGTACGGCCCCAGCCATTGAAATAAATTGAGCAAATGGTATGCTATCCTGGGTTTAAAACGGTAGTTTCCAAATAAAATTGATTTTAGTTGAGCTATATAGAACAACCTTTAAGGAAAGTAACTTTTTTTATTTTTTTAACCCCTTCGTGACGGGAGACGTGCACTGTATGACCGTTATTTACTACTCTTGCTGTCACTGTTTGACAGCTGGTATATACTGGCTTTTTTTAGCTACATGTTTCTTTTGCTGAAACAATGTTGCAGGCTCCTGATCATTCTGTGAATGCTCAGAACCTTTAGTGACACTGACCCTGACATGCTGTCAGGATCAGTCACTAAGGTTATTATTGGCTGTTCTTAAAGTGACATTAAAGCCCAACTTTTTTTTTTTTATTTCTCCTTTGCTTTGCTGGAGGCTGTTGCTTTTACTCCTTAAAAGTGCCTAATTCCTTGTTTTCTAGTGGCTTCCCGCAGCATACTTTCCCCCGCCCCATTCTAATGGAGGCCCCCGTGCGCGTTTGTCCCCGATCGTTTCCGCAGTGGGTGTGTGCGTCCATAGACACACACAGCCCTGTGGCAGGCCACGCCACTTCCCTCGTTGATGGCAGAAGAAGCCTATGGCTCCTCTGCCATCAGTATACTCGCCCCGCAACCCGGAAGTTCGGGGAACGGAGGATCTCTTCGGATGGGCGGGGAGGACGAGCGCAGCTGACAGGTAAGTGTGTAGGAGACTGGGGGGGACGGGGGTAGGAAAAAAGTGCTGGGCCGTTTTTACCCTAATGCAGAGAATGCATTAAGGTAAAAAAAAATTGGTTATTAAGCAGTCATGGTGAGATTCATTCACAGTGACTGCTTCATATAAATAAAATAGTGTAAAGGGAGAAAAAAAAAGCCTCCAGTTAGAAGTGGGCACAATGTGAGTTGAGATGTACACCATGTTTACACTGCTGTTATTGCTTGACAGTGAGGAATTACATTAATGTGGGACATAAATTGTTTGTCTCTTTCAGCTGTGTTAATGATGGATGATGACACAATCCTTAGTGCATATGACATCTCCTTTGCATTCTCCGTCTGGCAGGTAATTAAAACAAATAATGTCTGAACTGTGATTGTTCAACCCAGATCATTAGCTCTGCTGATCATATTATACCAGTAATGAAACATAATGGCCATTGTAAAAGATGAGGATTTATTTACTTCACTAAAGCCCAGTTTTTATAGCTGGTTACAGGTCTGCCACTTACTGGTAGACTGTCTTTCATTTTTAAGCAGACAAGCCACTCTTCTTTTCAATAACGTGGATGTAAATGAGGACAAGGGCCTCTTCCCCACAATCCTGGCCCGTGGTTGTGGGGCAGGGGGACTTATTTGCATCTGGGTCGCCCCCCTTGTGAATTATGTAAGGATTAGTTGTTACCCCCACTCATTCACTAAAGGGTTAAATAAAAAGTAAATTAACACACAAGACTTTTGAAAAACTCCCAGATGCAAGTAAGTCCCTTTGCCTGCAGACCCCCCACAACCAATGGGCCAAGGTTGTGGGGAAGAGGCCCTTGTCCTCATCACCATGGGGACAAGGTGCTTTTCCAGGGGGCACCATCCCTATGTCGAGGGCATGTGGCCTGGTAGGGTGGTCGCTCTCCACCCCCCCTTCCTTCCGTGCCAGACCTGATTTTTTTTTTTCTTTTTGAACCATTATTTTTATATTTGTTTCTTTTTCCAGCAATTTCCCAGTCAGATTGTCGGCTTTGTGCCTAGGAAGCATGTTACTTCACCTTCCGGAATATTCAGCTATGGTAGCTTTGAACTGCAAGCAATGGACTCTGGGCCTGGTAACATGTACTCCCTGATTCTTATTGGGGCTGCGTTTTTTCACAAAGACTACCTGAAGCTCTTCCAGGATCAACCCAGCTCAATCCATCACATGATTGACCAGACCCAGAACTGTGATGATATTGCAATCAACTTCTTGGTGTCAAATTATACAGGAAAAGCTTCTGGTGTGCTGGTAAAACCAATAGATATGAGAAACTTGGAGAAGGATGCAGCAAGTGGCTACACAGGGATGTGGCATCGGCCAGAACACCTCCTGCAGCGCTCCTTTTGTCTCAACAAGTTGGTGGGCATCTATGGGAAGATGCCCCTGAAATATTCCAATATAATGATCTCCCAGTTTGGTTTCCCAAACTATGCCAATCACAAATCTAAATGATGAAGAGTGAAGGCCTAATCGTGTCCAAGGCTGTCATTTGAAGTTTACACCAGTGACTAATCAGAATCCGAGGTCTCATTATGATAGTGTAGATCCATTTATTGGATCACCTTAGAAAACAATGTACTGTACTGTGTTAAAAATGTGTGTTTGTTAATTTTGTCTGTTATCTTGATCAGGTCGTTTTTACAAGAAGGAATTTCAACTGTGAACATTTCTATAGATCTATCAACCAACTACTGTGGTTATTGATCTTAACCTGAAAATGTTAGTTGCCTGGCTGTCACACTGGCTCTTTGATTTCAGTACCTTCTGAGTAGCTGACCTGAATTCAAGTAAAACTGCGGTCAGGCTTTGGACATTCTTAACACTCCGTATATAAGCTTTAAAACAAGTCCTTACTGATCTCTGCAGCTGCAGGCACTGTAAAGCAATTCAATCTCCAGTTCACAATACCAGCACTGTGTTCTCTCCCCTCTTCCTCTGCACCCGCTCTGTGTTTACAAATTAGGAGGCTGGCAGGATACCAATCACTGCTGAGAGGAGGAGCAAAAAAACAGCTAAGCAGCTCAAATAAAAGTGCTTTTTGCTGTAAATTTTAAAGATAAATTACTGCTGCTGCCTACTTGTTCCAGTTTGTGATTTGGAAATTGCGTCTAGAAACATGAAGCCAACAGACATTTTAGATGCATTTCAGCAATCGCACCGTCCATATTTCTCCTTAGTTCTTATACGTGCCCGGGCTTTGGATAGTTTAGTAATAGGTGTACATTTGATCCATAATGCCGCAGGGACCACAGTTCTCTTGTTATTTGAAAGCGAGCACTCCACTGTACATATAGGGGTTCCTCAAAGAAGAGGGCTACTCCTGCACTGCAAGGGTTAACTGCTTATTTTGTGTCTAGGTAAAAAAAAAAAAAGTTATACCAACCAGCAGCTCCAAGCCGGCTTCTTAGATCAGTCCTGCAGTCTACGGTCCCGTAAATCCTCAACATATATACACAGTGTATAGACCTGACAATGGTGAGGAACATTTTGATGCTGCTGTGGAGGGGGAGACAGACTGGAGGGAGCGCTGTGACAGCTGGCCAGCTCGGAGCTTCGGTTGAGTATAACGTTCTTTTTGTCCCACAGCAAGGGTTAATACAAAGTTTTCCTGGAGTTCTTCTTCAACTAACATTGGGGAAGGAGAATGGGCTCCTTTACACCTAACCCATAGGTCCTTTTTATTATTACAGCCTTGAGCGAGAACTGTACAGCAATAACAATTTGTGTTCACAGCGCAGTTAACACTAACAATCTGCACAGCACACTGGCCTATTGGCTAGCAATCTTTACTGCTAGAGATTCACCAATACCAGTTTTTTGGTACCGAGTATTTTGTTTAGGTACTCCCCCAATACCAGAAGTCTCATTAAGGAAGCCAAGCGGCGTGTAATGACTCGCCACCCGGCTTCCCGATTAGCCGGGAACTGTCTCCTTGCATGCTCCCTCGTCACCAGGTGAAGAGGAAGCATGGAGCTGGCTTTTTGGCCAATCAGGGAGGCAGGTAATGACTCGCCGCCTAGCTTCCTGATTGGCCAGGCCACCAAGTGATGAAGCCTGGAGCCGGCTTCCCGGCCAATCTGGGTAGTGGGTAATGACTCGCCGCCCAGCTTCCGGGTATTGGAAGTTCCCGTGTCTGGATAGGCATCGGGAGTATTTGGGTGAGTATGAGTACGAGTACTCGCCTAAATACTCGGTATCAGAACCAATACTAGTATCGGTATCTGTGCATCCCTACTTTCAGCACTGAGGTCCTGCATTAGATTCCCATCTGTGATTAGTATATTCAAAACATTTTCTATTTGACTTTTATGTAAATGAATGATCTGGTTTCCTCCTGGTGCCTAAAAACAGCTGTAGATTATCCGGCATCAGGCCCAGCTGGCTGGCCCTAGAACACAGGTCTTGTTGCTTGTATGTAGCGGTACTGGTTGGTAAAATTATATTGAAAGCTTCTATTCAGCAGGAATGTGAACAATTGTATGTACTCTGCAAAGTACTTTATAATCTTTGATGTTATTACTTTACATGATCCAGATCTAGTTTTTAAATATTGAATTCTCTGTCAAGTATGTTGTGTGTTTTGTTTTTTTTAAAGAAAATGCTGCTATGATAATAATATTAGGAGATTTTTCTTATGTATAAAAAATAATAAGCTAAATTTGGTGTATGCAGTTGTTTTTGCATTACAAGATGAGAAAATAGATGTAAGAGAAAAATGTAATTAAAGGATTCAAATTCTGACTTATTGCTTTTGTTTTATGATCATTGAACACTATAGGGATCACGGAGAACATAAAACCGTATAGGGAGACCTGGTCCTTATACCATGTTCATACAATATAACCCCAAAGCTAATATTTCAGAATTGTGTAGATGGAGATGTCTTAGATATACACTGGTGTATATCTCTAGCATTACAATGGGGGGATTTAGCCTTTAGACACATTAAGACCAGGTATCTGTTTCTACATAACACTGTTGAAGACAAAAAAGCAAATCTGACTGAGAGAAACAATTGAAAGGTGATACACTGGTTAGTAGTTTTTTTTTTAATGCTTGGATACAGTGTTTTAAAATAGATTTCCACTTTTGCAGTCAAATTTGAGTAAACCCCACTATATATTTACCCAAAAAATGTGTGTATTCTGGGCCACCAAATGAGAAGAGGACACCACACCCCTAAATTTACATATACAACAACAATCCTCAAAATGGGGCTTTTAAGGTGTTGCATGATTCAATTACATTATAAATCTACTAATACATATGTATTATAATTGCAATTAACATCCTTGCATCATCACATGCATCAATGTGCAGTGGGTCCGGCCTTTGCCTTCTACACATTTCACCAAAGCTTCCTCAGGTAGAAAGGAGACAGCCTGTAATATTTACACAATTATAATGGCTTCTTAGAATCTTAAGTGATGAATAATACAAATATACATACGCAAGACATAGATACCCTTTTCCAGAATTTTGGTGGTGAATATGTCCACATATTCAGGGGATGCTCACCCAGGAGACATCGGAGATAAGGAGCATACAGAGGTAGCGGGATAATAAATACTTGATAACTGTTCATAGGTACCTGTGAGGATTATAAAAATGAAAAGTCTCAACCATTAAGGTATTTGAATACCAACATACCGATATATGTATGGATATAAATATGGGGCCCCTCCAAAGACCAAAAAAAAATCCCAACACAGTGGGGGGGAAAACATTCGTAAAACATAAACAACTCATAATCGAAGAGAGCAGTAATCAAAATATATTTATATATATATAAACCTCCATATTCTCTAGATCCTTGGTTCTCTACTGGTGGGTCGTGACCCCATGTTTAGTGGGTCTCCGCGTGCCTTCCACTTTTCTTGGCAAGAGGCTCCTCTGCCTCCCCCTAGCACAGCACTGTCAGTTTTCACGCCAAGCAGCCATTCAAAATATGCTGCTCGGCTCCGAGTGTCAGCTTGAAGTGCAATGGGATGGGGCTATGGCCGCAAAGGATCTCCATCCATACGTGAATTGCTTACAGCTCCCTCACGTGCCCTGTAGAGGTTCCTGGACTGGAGTGACGTCACATTCTGGCTCCCAGCACCTCTACAGGGTGGGCAAGGGAGATGCACAAGCAATGCATGTATGGATGGTGCTCCAGCACAGCACAGCAGCCCACACTGGACCCCAGGCTGAGGATCCACTCCAGTTCTTGTAAGGTAGGGAGACTGGGTGGACTGTAAAAAAAATGTAACATTTTTTTGGAGTGTCTATGAGAATGTTTGTGAGATTGTGTCTGTGTATGTATGTCAGTGTTTTTGAGGGCCTATTTACACTAGTACAGTGTGTCAAAATAATATGCAATCGCACCCACCATGCATTCTGGTGTGGGAGGTGTGTTGCATTGCCATTTATTTGAATGGTACCCCAAACGCACTTCCCACCTAGAGTTTGTGCGCCCGCACCGGAACACGCGCTACCCTAATGCCGTGCGTTCCATTGCAGTGCGACTTGGGTCGCGACTTAATGACCAAGGACAAATGTGGGTCATGAGGTTACACAGGTTGAGAACCACTGCTCTAGATGTTCACATATAACACCTCCACTGTCTCCAAAATGTAATTACGTAACTCATTTAAGAGTACATAGCATATGCAGTATGGCTTACTATAGGAGACCTCCATTAAATATAAATACATGATTATCCAAAAATAACATATAGTAACTTACAATACATCCCAATATATAAAACCTGTCTTACTTTCAATAAAAATATATATAGTCATCCAATTACACCTTGGGGAAAGTATATCAACTCCTCCCTATCCCAAAGCACAAACTCTCCAATCAAGCAATTCATTTGATCATCAAGGGGACAAAGACTACTGAAGTAAATCGAAAAATCCACATGATTAATGCCAGTACTATTCACAATCTTGTTGACAAATTAGTTCTAACTAGGTTCTTTTTGCCTAATTAATTAATGTTGTGTTCAGGGAGTTGTGCTGATATATATCTCAGCATTAGTGGTGCTGTTTTAATGTTTTTTATTACATATGTTATTAATAAATACATTCTAATAAACATCTGTATTTGTTTGTTTATAATGTAATTGAATCACTAATGCAACATCTTAAAAGCCCCATTTTGAGGATTGTTGATGTATACCCACCTTATATTTGTTCCCATTCACATAGCATACCAAAAAATATTTCTATTAATATATTTCTTACCTTATAGCTCTTTCTTTGGTGAAGGCCTTTGTGCAGATTCCAAGTTGCTCTGTGCAGTTTGAGAATGAAACTATAGTGTCAGGCTGAGGGTCCGACTGAGCTTCCTCTCATTAACACACAATGCCTCAAAGTTAGACGATGTTCAAATCTAGCTTACAATTGATCATGAAATCTGCCAGCACAGTACAGACAAGGTTAATTAGAGTAAACATAACTTCGCACAACCACTCCTTAACATTACATCAGGGGAAGCTAGGTAGATTTTTTAAGTATAAAGCACTTTTAAATG